CGGGTATTCGGGGGCTGCGTTTTCCCTCGAGCCGCTGAGCAGGGGAAATGATGATTTTTCTAAGACATCTCAGCTGCCAATCCCCATGGGGACACCACAGCGTTGGCCTCAGTGCAGGTCACCCACCTTGTCCACTCCTCCAAGCTCCAGCGGTGGTGGCCCCATCGGCCCCATCTCCAGGGCTGCAAACCAGCCACCAGCACCCGCTCAGGACAGACTTGCTGCAGGGCCCTGAAGCACGGCGGGAAGGATCAGGGAGGAGGATGGAGGGAGCGTGGGGACACAAGGAGGATCAGAAGAAGGATGGAGGGAGCATGGGGACACAGGGAGGATCAGGGGGGGGGAGGGAGACAGGGAGGATCAGGGAGGAGGATGGAGGGAGCGTGGGGACACAGGGAGGATCAGGGAGGAGGATGGAGGGAGCGTGGGGACACAGGGAGGATCAGGGAGGAGGATGGAGGGAGCGTGGGGACACAGGGAGGATCAGGGAGGAGGATGGAGGGAGCGTGGGGACACAGGGAGGATCAGGGAGGAGGATGGAGGGAGCGTGGGGACACAGGGAGGATCAGGGAGGAGGATGGAGGGAGCGTGGGGACACAGGGAGGATCAGGGAGGAGGATGGAGGGAGCGTGGGGACACAGGGAGGATCAGGGAGGAGGATGGAGGGAGCGTGGGGACACAGGGAGGATCAGGGAGGAGGATGGAGGGAGCGTGGGGACACAGGGAGGATCAGGGAGGAGGATGGAGGGAGCGTGGGGACACAGGGAGGATCAGGGAGGAGGATGGAGGGAGCGTGGGGACACAGGGAGGATCAGGAGAAGGATGGAGGGAGCACGGGGAAGACAAGAGAGGAGGATGGAGGGAGCATGGGGTCACAGGGAGGATCAGGGAGAGGCCTCTTACAGCGCCAACAAGCTATTTCAACTGAGCCAAACGGCCCATGGAGAAGCACTGTGTGACGGGGACAGCAGCAATTTGTGTGTCCCAAGGAGGGCTGGGAGAAGAAATAGTGCTAATGCCACAGCACAGAGAAAACACACAGAGTTTTCTTTAGGGCTCCCCTAGGATTTCCAAGGGAAGGCACTGTCAGGGTTTTATGGAGCATTTTACATGAAGTGCTAATCACCACGGCAGCCGTTGAGGGCAGCGGCCCCAGGGCTCCTCCGGCACAGGGGCCACCTCTCCCGGGGCAGCACCGGCTGCTACCAGGGCTCACCACGGACGAGCAAGGGATTGGGGTGAACACTGGTGATTTATGGCTGCTTCGTTGGTCAGGAAGGTGGGTGCAGGATGGAGGTGTCTGGCCCAGAAAGGAGGAATAGGTGTAGAAGAACTGGCATACATAGAGGGGAATATGGTGGGTTATGGTGGACACCAAACATGCCGGTCCAAATCTCCAGCTGCGCCCACAGGCAGCTGATGCTCCAGGGTTAACAACAGTCCCACAAAAAGCTCATGTCTTGCCTAAGCTGCTAATGACCTCAGTTAACCTGACCCACAGGAGGTTGGTAATGAGGAGGCAGTGAAATACTTGTGGACCTTTATTTCTTATGGCATGAATAACCTCCCTTCCCGAGGACTTCCCTAGGAAGGTCCCCCCATGCCCTACATTCACAAGAGGTCACACAGAGGAACAGGACGACAGTAATCCCACAGCTGATCAGAAAACAGGGAAGACCAATGCCTAAACACACATCTGGTGGCTTGGGAGATGCCCTGGGACAACTGCCTGGGCTGGCAGACGTGAGCCAGGTCTTCCAAGAGTTTGCAGAGCAGAGCTGGTGGCTGGAGAGGTCTCTGCATCTATTAAACATCTGTGTTCAGGTAGCTGCATCTCACCCCTGATACTTTTACTCAAACTGCATTAATTCTGCAAAATAATCCCAGAACACAACAGTTTTTAACTCAAACGTGGTCCAACACTGGGAATTTCTGACAAGTTGCCTTCTCCATACAGCATCCCTCCCAGCAGAAGCAGGAGTCAGAGTACAGGTCTCAGTAGTAAATGTATTTTTTCCTGTTAACAGCTTCAATTCTTTCAGCACGGAGCATCTGGGCTTTCCAATGCTGCTAACCTTCACCCCAAAGCCCAGATGGGGTTAAAGGGTGTCAAACATGACCAAGAGAACAGAAGAGTGACTGAGCAGAGGATGGGATTGCCCCTGGTGAAGCCGTGGTGGGAAGAGGACAAATCCTTCTCCCCAAGGGGCAAGGAGAGCAACCTTTCTCTAGCTTGTTTCTTAAGGAAATCAAATCCCAAAGACTAACCTCCCATGAGGATTTAGGAGATATTTTTTGAAAATATGGTCAGGAAAGGAAAAAAAAAAGTCATTTTGGAGACCTTGCTTGAAGACAGGTGCCCACCGCTGACCCAAATACACAAAGATCCTCACCCAGGGTTTTCCATGCCTTAATGAATCCAAGTCTTTCCTCCACCATTCACCGAACAGCAAAATGTATCACCAAGAACACAAGAAGACATTTTGTGGTGGAAGAAGATAACAAGCAGGTGCCCTCCCAGCTCAGCTTAGTACTCGCCAGCTCCCATGAATGGGGCTGTAAAGGATGAAACACATGGACACGTCTTAGCTAGGAAGCAGCACTAGCAGCCCAGAAGATCAGATCTCACCATGACCATGGCCTGGCTCACCCCAACGGCAGCTTTCAAGACAGGCCAGGACACACAGTGGCCTGGGCACAGGGTCTCGCCAGCCTGGCTGGGACACTCGGCGCACCAAGCTCAGCCTCCAGCCAGATGCAGTCACACAGCGTGGACACCTTGGGGTTGAGAGTCCCACGGTTGGACTTTGGTGATGCAATGCACACAAAGCAGCAACGTTATCGTGTCGGGTTTCTGTTGTAGGAAGATGGACAGATGGCCTGAAAATGTCCTGTCCCCCGCCAGAGCTTCCTGTGCATTGACCTGCAGAAGCATGGTGACTTCTTCTCACCACCTCCAACCTCCATTCAGTGCTTTGGGGAGAAGAGCCAGGTGACAGACCTGTTAGAGCGGCCTCCCATCAGCCAAGCCCTCTCCATCGTCCACAGATACACAGATGCTCTCCCTTCCACTCCAACTCCATGCTATCAAGAAAAAAGAAGATATTCTGCAATGTTTGTGCTTTTGATCTCCTTAAAATCCCTTTAGCATCCTCTCTTACAAAGTCTCATACAGCAATGACAACAAAGGTGCTCTAGGGAAAATTACTTTATTTTCTTTCTTTGTTAGAAATGCTTTTTACAGTTTAAGAAATGAGGTTCTTTTTAAAAAAACAATCACAATTTCAGGAACAGTCCTATCCACAGTGCCACGGGCACTGGGCATCGCAAGCTCATGGACCTCGCCGTTAAGGTGGGAGCATTGTGAACACCTCTGATCTGTGTTCCTGGAGTTCAACAGGAGAAAAAAAAACACTTGAGCAGGACTCTGGTTTTCTTCCCACCAGCAGCTGACACCTTTGGGTCTAAATTAAAGCTCTTTCCGCAGCTGGTTCGGTCAGGCTCCTTGGCTGAAGGGCTTCAGCTGGAGCAGGTCAAGCCACCATGCAGCAGACGGAGGTAATGGGGGAGCCCTCCCACACCACAGCCCCTTCACCCCAAAAGGCTGGCTGGGCACAGGGAGGGAGGAGGACAGCGGTCAGCATTGGCCCATGCCTTGGGGGCTACTAAAGGGTAGAAGCCGTTGGCAGAGGCTAGCCGGGAAGCGGTAGTGTTGTAGCCTAGTTCAGCCATTTGGCAACTGAAGGCACAGCCGGACATCGGGGGTCTGCCCCGGGTGTTTGCACACTGATCCTCTGCGACTCATTGGGGACTGCAGCCGACACGGATGTTGCATTAACAGAAAGGGAAAGGTCATCGGCACATGAAAGTCGGGATTTTCCCAACAGAAAACAACCCACCCGCCCTCTCATTTAAATGCAATTTTCCAGCCAGGCTGCAGTACCTCCAAACGGAGTGCCAGGCACAGCCCAGGGTCTCCAAGAGCAACACCCAGGGACATGTCACCGGACCTTGTGCCTAGACATCACCTCTCCAAACTAGAAGAGTTGGTTTCTTGATACAAGAGATCTCAACTGGATTCAATTTTCATTTACATTAGATTACCACCTCTGCCCAAACCAGCAGCGATGCCGTCGACTTGCCCATGTGGAGCGAAGGAAGCCATCTGCTGACACCCAAGCTCCCCACAGCACGTCCTCACCATCAGCAAGACACTGGACACACAGAAGGAGCCTAATGGGGCTTTGAAGAATTATATGTGGTGTTTAGGGCTGCTGGAGGAGTGGGATAAAACTACTCGGAAAATATTCATTGCCAAACCCGTGAAGTTGGAAAATATCTGGAGAGATATCAGAAGTTGCAGACGATATTAAGAGTGGTGCCGTTACTTACACCATTCCCAAGTTTCTGCTTCTTGGGCTTGGGGTCATTGTAGGAATTGGCACCAGCGTTTAAAATGCATAAATCTTTGTTACTGTCTGTACCGTGACACTGCCAGCAGGGCTCAGGCTTCTAGATCCAGATCCTTCTGCGGTCCCACCTGCACAGATCCAACCAACCTGTGGCGTTGAAATCCCTTTGGCACTCATCCTTATGGACACAGAACGTTTTGCTGCCGAGCTGGGTGCCAGCATCTGCCGGGCTCTCCTCGCAGCATGGCACAGAAGTCAAACGAACGCTTCCCCTCCACATCCAACTCCAAACGCTCTCCGCTGTAAAGACCACAGCCACTGCCTCCCTCATCACGCTGCCAGTTACAATAAATTGCTGGCATGCACCATTTGTGATTTATCTTGAGATAGAGAGCATTATAAATATTTTCACCTAAGCAGCCCTAAAAACAGGAGGGAAGGGTTAAATAAAGGCTTTACCCTCCTTCTCAATATCAAACGTCAGAAAAATCTAGGTGAATAAATTCAAAAAAATCGATGTTAGCCTAGAAACGGAGACCAAAACTCAGCAGCCAGCCAGCCCAGAGTTCAGCGAGCCCCAACCTAACCTCAGCACCCAGAGATGTCTCTTGCTTTGTTCTTCCGCTGGTATCTTACATCCAAGGGGTCGAATCCCCTTTCTCTGGACCCAAACAGTGCCCAGCGAGGAGTTCTGGCTGCATAATCGGCCGCTGTGAAAGTCTTGGACCCGCCGCTCCTCTCGTGCTCTTCCACCAGCTCCTGGAAGCGGTCGTAGTTGATCCAGGTGCACCACTCGCCATTGATCTTGAACTGGAAGGAAAAGAAACACGTTACTGAGCCAGGGAGCAATGAGGAGTACCAAATACCACATTTATGCTAAGACGAGCTGGGTGCATATTAAATTGGTTACCCAGCTGTAGTCTTTTTTAATTTTCTAGCCACATTAAGGTCCAGAGTAAAGCCATCCAGAAGCTAATGTAGAATAACAGAAAAAAAAAAAGAAATTCAGGTGGACAAATACCTAGAACTTACTGTTTCTGAGCCACGTTTCATCCACGGGGTTTGACAACACACACAGATACAGGATGGCCATTTTTCTTACAGCGTTCGTCATTTAGTATTGTCTACCAGCAGACAACCTCCATGAGGGTTTGACTGTTGGGTGCTTTGCCGGACCCTTCAAAGTACCAGATCCTACCACCACTGAAGCCCCACTTTGCCAGGAGGAACGCTTCCACGATGCATCCCAAGCCTTCCCAGGCGTGTCCACACTTGCGAGGTGTCACTTACACCTGAAAGACCTTGGTTTGGGGAACTGGAAGAGCCTGGGAGGAAATGTGTAAATTTGAGAGCGATGCCCAGGTACCCCTTGATGAAGGGACCTTTCCAAGGTCAACCAAAGCCCCTGCTCAGAGCGTGTGACACCAATTCCAGAGCAGCCACAGTCTGGCAAAATGGTACGGGAGCAACACCAGAGCCATGTGCTGTGGTGATTGGGATGGGTTTGAGTGATTCTTGAAAGGGGCAAGAGGGCCGTCTTTGGGAACAGGGGAAGATAAAGAGGTTTAATTACATGAATCCTCTTTCCATGTGAGAATTTTAAGAATTGCTTATTTTGACAAGCTGAAGCTGCATTTGTCTAGCAGACCTGCTCTGCTAATTTAGCAACAGCCTTGACTGAATCCTCAATTAGGATTTATCTGAGCCAAGAGCTTATGCACTTCATCCAAAAAAAAAAAAAAAAAAAAAAGGGGGGGGGAACAACCTACCCCCCTTTCCTTTTTTTTTGGTTTTTTTTTTTTTTTTTTTTTTTTTTTCCCCCCAAAAACCTGATGGCTATGCATTTAAAATGGCACTTGACTTTCTGCCCAAGAACTAAAAGCTTTTCTGGTCAAAAGAACTGCTGACACCTGCAAAATTTTGCAGTCAAACATTGCTAATGCTAATCTATTGCTGCCTGCGTAATTACAGCGAATTCTTGCAGGAGTCGTCCTCCGCACAGAGCAGAGATGTGAGACTGCAGAGTCATAACAGCAGGGAACGAATCTCGCCGTAAATAAACTCGCCCAATGCGCATTCTTCATATGCCAAGGTGTAAGCCATGCTTCATCAAGGCGACACGTCCTCTCTCGTGTGTGCGGCCGCAAGTAAAGCAATAGCAGAGAAGACAACGTGTCGCCTGTAAAGCAGAAGGTCCCAAACAAGATCCAGGCTCAGGAGACCTGAACCTCCTTCCCAATGAGCGTGGAGGTGCTAGTGACAAGTTCACACCATGCATAAGACTCCTTGCTCCCCCAGATTTGATTCACTAACACTCAGCAAATTCTCACACAAATTAAGGGCAAAAAAGCCCCCAACCCACAGGGTCCAGCAAAGGCTATAACACACGGCACATGGGAGAGTCGTTTAGCACACGAGCTGTTGAGCTTATTCCCACGAAGAGTATGGAGCACTCCTAACACATCAGATGGGTCCCTAGATAGCCTTGAGGCCAACTAAGAGAAACCTAGCACATAAAGAACAAAAAAGCCGCCGAGACTTGAACTCAACTGAATAGGTAATTCGGTAAAGCCCGTTTCCTTGAAAACCAACGGGATGCTCTAATCTCAGGATGGAAGGGGGAGCTGGCAATGAGCCGTTAACCCTGTGGTCAAGAGTGGCTCAGCAAGAGCATCAAAGCCACAGGAGATACTGGTGCCACCCAGACCAGCTGAAAGGAGGGTATGGACTGCAGCCACCACCCGCAACCCAAACACTGGCGTAGATATTTGCCTCTCCAGAATCTTAAAGCTAGGAACTGCACCAAAACAGCGTACTATTTCCTGCAGGACATACTGAGAACTATTTCTAGACTATTTCTAGAAGAAGCCCTGCTCAGACCATTGCTCTGTCAAGCCAGTCAATGGTGAGGCAGCTGCACTCACAACGGGTTTAATTGGCAATGGGTGGGTAAAAACCCACCATCCTATGAATGGGCTGGCATCAGCGCTGGTGCTTTCATCATCCACTGCACTTCAACATCAGTATAACACTGTCACTGTCCAGCCCAGGGCAGAATCGGTCTCGTACAGGGATGAGAGTCTGACATGAGTTTCTGGGACACAATCAGACGGTTTCTCTCTTTTTAGAAGCAAACTATTTTTCCCCCCTTTATCATGCCGTGGCTCTATCTCACCACATTAGCTGTTCTTCCATGGAGTTAGTGACCTTTGATGAGGCTAGCGGCAGAAGGAAATAAAACCAAAGATCTCCCAACACCAGTCCCAAAAAGTCCCCGTCACCTGGAGTTGCGCAGCAGACGCAGCTGGCCTGAAGGCAGCGTGCCCAGACCCGCCGGCTCTCGGGTTGTGCTCCCGAGCAAGGTGGGATGCCAAGAGGTGGCTTGGTGAGTGGCCAGAAGGGACCTCTGCCCTCTCCTCCCCTCATCGCTCATTCCCCGTAGCATAAAGCACTATGTATGCTTTCCTGGGGATAAAACAGCTCCTGTGCAGGATAAAACCCTCCAGGCTTGCATAAACCATGTGCATTGCTCTGCATCCTGAACTTTGGCTAGGTGACCGAAGTGAGATTTTAAGCTATTTAATTTTGACTCTATCTGAACCTGCAGCTCCTGACACAATGGAGATATTAAGGCTGGGAGCCGCCTGCTGCAGACTAAGGTGACAATAGCGTTCCCACCAGACCAACTAAATGAAGGCTGCCTGGGATTCATTACAAAAGCAGATTAAATAATATTAAATATTTTTAGTGCTGCAATAGCACAGCTGTAAGACATGAAGAAATGGGAGCAATCCTTTAAGTGTGTCATGGAAAGCAATTACTTCTGCTGAGGAATAAAAACCAGACAAACATGGGGTGGGGGAGAACAGCCTCAATTGCCCACAAGATTTACAGATTGGATTTTAACAATTTTGTGATTATTCCATAGATAATAAAAGATTTAATACTCAAAGTAGTTTCACAACATCCATATAACAGGCGAGCCAATGCTAAACATCAGTGTTATTTCAGACTAATGCGGTCAGGTTTTTTATTGAATTTTTCACTACCTGGTTAAGTCTTTTAAGGTGATAAATAAATCGACAAAAGACAAATGGCTGAAACCCTTACCTCGTTGTTGTTTTTTTTTAAGCTAGCATCATAAAAAAAACGTAATAAAGCTCCTTCAGCTGGCTCTGAAGCCAGGCTGTGTTGTCTGGAAAGGCAAACTCGCCCTCCCCGAGGGCGTTGCTGGAGCAGCGAGATGACACGGGAGCCAGCGCACGCCTTCCCCTCGGAGCTCGTGCTCCCAGGGTCCCCAAGCTCGGGTCCCCAGGCTCCAGTCCCCGTGGTCCCACCACCAATCGCTCCCTACAGACATGGCACCGGTGCACAGCAATGCAAAACCTGCCCGATTTCTGCAGATCCTACAGCCAGGGCAAGGAACACTGCCCCAGGCAGGCATTAACGCTGGGAAAAAGAGAGGCTAAGGAAACAAGGGGAAACTCGTAATGGCCTTCAGGCCCAGAAAAGCAGATCTAGGTGTGATGCTGGACCAGCACTGGGGACCTTTGTCAAGGGGTTACACACCTCTGCCAGGAATGGCATGGCTGGACCCAGGGGAGCCACAGGGCAATGGTGCAAAAGGACGGAGCTACCTGCCGCGGGTTGTGGTGTCCATGGACGTGGCCAGTCCCGCAAACAGTCTATAGCAAAACTTATATATATACTGCAAAGACAATCAGGAGCCAGGACTAAAATGGAAAGCCAAGTTACCTGGGAGCATCAACAGAGCATGGCTAACACCTCCCTCTTCTCTTATAACTCACAAGAGTGGATATGAACAAGAAATTTCTCTAAATTATCTTTTGCAGTAGGTTTACAGCTGCTCCGACTGCAGAGAGAGAAGCTTCTCGCTACAGAAACCCATCAACATTCCTGAAGGAGAAGGGCCACACTACGTATTTCTTTTCTTATCAACGTATTTGCATAAGCAATTTTGGGGGGATAAAAACATATGCATATATTGAGGATGGACAACATAGTAGTACAATTTACTACATTCCTCCAGACATGCATAATTGCTGAGAAATAAACACACGGTTTATACAAAGGGATAAAATATAGGAGAGGAGCAGAGATGGTTACACATGAAACGCTAACACTGAAAAATGGAAGTCAGCCAAAAATCAGTTAGTTTGTCCTAACAAGGATAACGTTATATTTTCTTCAGAGAAAAACACACTGAAATGGGGAGGCTCCTCTTCTTCCATTCATTCTGGTCTTTAAAAAAAAAAAAAATGTAATGTATTTTCAGGAAAGGACTAAATAGTATGGGCTACATAAGAGAATAAAGCAGAGCAATGGAAAAAGCCTGCTGTGGCTCCTCGCAGAGCAAACCCTGGGTTGGAAGGACAGAGCCCGTCTCCGATGGGGAGAGGATCCATGGGAAACCTTTCTGCGACGAGCTGTGTTGCAGCGCAGCATCCCCGAGGAGCAGAGGGAAGGCTGGGAAGAGAAAGCAGAGCTTTGGGTCTTGCAAAAGCTATTCTTTAATTACTCGAGGACACGAAGATTTAGTCGTCCAACAAATGGATTCTTCCCCAGGCAGACGCACAGGGTTTAATGGTTAAATACAGCAGTTTTATGCGTAGTTTTAAAGACCACACACACACACACAAAAAAAAAAAAGAAAAGAAAAATCAGTGGTAAGCAGGGAGAACAGTGCATGCTTCAGTTGCAGGGGGGCACAGAAACTGGTGCAGCATCATACAGGGGGGCAGGGAGAGCCCACTGCTCCTCCGATGGCTTTTCTAGTTATGATTTCCAGC